GATTCTTATCTATTTGAGGATTGGTCTCCCCAAAAATAGACCAAAAAACAAAAAAAAAAAATTCCTATTTAGATCCAAGTCCTCCAAAGTAATTAAGTCCTTTGAAACAAGTCCCCATTGTTAATTCGCATTTACTTAACCCAACTGAATTAACGAGGTTGACAGAAATCAAATTTTAAATTGGAGAGTTGTAGGAAGTTTAGCAAGTTAGAACCGACTTTAAATGGGTTTCAGGGATATATTTGACTTTTTTCACCTCCGCAAGAGGTAGGTTCAAGACAAGGGAATATATGGAAAACGAAAAATTAACAGCCCATTACTTTTGTTGGATTAGTTGGATTAAGTGAATGAGAAATAACCATGGGGACCGTATATCAAAAACTTAATATCTAGTTTTAGTGACTTGTACCAAATATGGTGATTCGGGGAACTTGTATCCGAATGGATGAGATTTGGAGGACTTGAATGTAAATATAATGATTTGGGGGCCTTGTGTCTAAATAGATGATATCTGGGGGCCAATATCTGACCCTTAATTAAAAGGTTTATTATCACTTTGATACTCAGGTTTTCCCATTTTATCACATACTCTACAAAATTCCTTTTCATCACTTTTGTTACTACACAGAATGACTAAGTGTTAATCCTCCCCCAGGAGTCGATACGTGTCCATTCTAACTAAGCATCCGATCGACTCAAGCAACACCAACACTACCCTTCCTAAGGAGGGCCGTGTCGGAAAATGTTCGTACTCGGATCCCGATGATAGTAGCAACCCACACCTTATCATTCTACAAGGCTAGATTGAGAACTTTGGAAGCTGAGTAAAAAAGGCGGTACTTATCGGCCCACTCGCAAGACCGAAGCGAAAGGTGTCATTTGCCTCTCATAGAGACGAGTCGAGAGCGATTTATCCTCGAGCCCCCCGCCGACAATCGATCGCCATCACATTGAATGCATGTTAGAATCACCATTGCTCCAACCCCGAAGGTCTTTATGACTTATCGGATCTCGTCAGCGCCACACATGCCTCGTCGCCATTGCATTAAATGCTTTGGTGACCCCACCCCCCTCTGCAACAGACACCTGTAAAGTAGCTGCCGACTAAGCCGTTTACTTGGACTTGACCGAAGTAAGCAGCTCATCCCCCTCTGCAACCAACACCTATAAAGTAGCTGCCGACTGAGCCGCTTACTTAGACTTTTCCCCTTGGATCTACTATAAAGGAAAGATGTTGTCTAGTGCAAAGGATAAGCAAAAACGCTGGTAAAAAAAAACACTATTACACTCACTCTTCTTCTCCACTCAAGCTCATTATTGATTTGATCGTCATAGGGACCACTGGAGATCCCAATTCCGACTCTCTCACATTTTTTATGTGTGGGACTGGATTCTCTGATTAAGAAGCAACTGTTCGAAGAAGATTGATGACCCTAACACTTTAGATAATTCACACATAACCCCCTGTTCGATAACTGACATCAACAACTTTGAGACCCGAAAGTTCAAAACCCAATTCAATCAAGTCCGGTTAACTTCAATCAAATCCATGTTGTGGACAAAAGGACACTACAAAAACTAGTGAGCCCTCCAACTCTTTTCCCCTACTAAAGAACAAGTGAATCTTGAGTTTCCAGTAAAATAAGACTATCTTTATAAAATTTAGGGAAAATTGCTTGGGGGAACCAAATTAAGTTGGGTCATTCATCCCCACCCCAAGCTCAAAAAGCATAACCAAAAAGCCCTTTTGTAGAAATATAAGTGCAACTAACTCCCAAACACTGTATAATCCCACTACCCAATGAACTCATTCCCAAATTACCCTTCCCTTCCCAATTTAAAATCAAAAAATATACTCTACAATCCCTTTCCTCCTCCAGCAATTATTTTTGGTTCCTCCAACCAATTTTCCCTAAAAAAATCAAGATAGCAGCCATGGATTCCTCCCTGCGCTCCGGAGGAGGTCGAAGGAAGATACCCATTGTGAAGATTGAGAAGAAAGAAGCAGGGGGGTTGACCTTCTCGAAGCGGCGTCAGGGGCTCTTCAAGAAAGCGTCGGACCTCTCCGTCCTCTGCGGGGTCGACGTCGCTGTGCTGGCGCTCTCGGAGGCGGAAAACCCCTACTGCTACGCCTCCACCCCATCCCTCATCCGTCGCATCCTCTCCACGTCTCCGCCGGCACCGTCTTCTTCTTCTTCTTCGGACAATGTTGATGAGCTGTGGTGGGAGGAGGAGCCGATCGAGCGTATGAGCCTCGACGAGCTGAGGGTTTTCAGAGGACAATTGGCGCGCGAGATGCAATCGATCGAAGCGGAGGAAGAGGGGTTTTCGAGATCTCGTCCCTAGTTGTTGTCGTATTCTTTAAAATTTACGGGTCTCTTGAAATTTTGTGACCCCCCCTCCCAGTTTTGTGTGTAAAGGGTTAAGGGGCGGATGTATTCAAGATATCACACAGATGTTATCCTTTAATTTTATTTTTTGATTATTAATAAAGTGAAAGATTCTCTTGGTTTGGGATTCAGCTCTATTTGTTTTCTGTCTTCCTCTTTCGTGTGGTTACTGGCACGTCTAATTTTGGATCAACACCTGGTTCATAAAGTTAAAACATTTTGATGCCCCAACTAAATCCTCGTATGTGCTCCAATCTGTTACTAAATTGCGGAATCAGGGATGATGGGTTGAGATTGTAACTTAGTTATTCAAGGTTAAATGGGATGTTTGGTAACTTATATTTGCAGTCTTTCTAATGTAAGCAACACCCAAATATCATATACAACACCCAAATGTCACGTATAAGCAACAAATGTCACAAGAAACACCCAAATATCACATACAACACCCAAATATCACGTATAAATAATAAATATCATAAGCAACACTTAAATATCACATACAACACCCAAATATCACATACAACACCCAAATGTCACGTATAAACAACAAATGTCACAAGCAACACCCAAATATCACATACAACACCCAAATGTCACGTATAAACAACAAATGTATAGCAATGTGCAGTACAAACAATGAACTCAACCCATCATCCCATTTCCTTCGTAGAACCAATCTATAGCAATGTGCAGTACAAACAATGAACTCAAAACTCAAATTTAAAGCAAACGAATTTAAAACAAACCAAAATCATCTTTTGCCTCCCCGCTAGATGCAATGTGTCGCCCCATTGTTATCGTTAACATTTACAAATCTAGAAAATCCCCTGTAATTCAACTCCCTCATCATCGGCCCCGTCGATGTCGGATCCGACGACCCCGACGAGGAGGTCACCGACACCGAGTGGTTCTTGAATATGAGATCGAAGCCGTAACAGGACCCTGATCCGAAGCCGTTAAAATTGATCCGAGAAGTCGTTACGACCCTTGTCTTCATTCAATTTTATCCGAAGCCGTTATGACCCTAGCTTGTGTTCAATTTTAACTTCTTCGGATCAAGCCGTTACAACCCAAATATCACATACAACACCCAAATATCACATACAACACCCAAATATCACGTATAAACAACAAATGTCACAAGCAACACCCAAATATCACATACAAAAGATGGTTGAGAAGGCAATAAGGCAGATGTGTGGGCTTGAATCACTCGAGCCCGTCCGATCAGAATCTTCACAGTTCTTGGGGCTCTGATGTTGATAATGATGATGAGAAGGAGAACAAAAGATGGTTAAATGGGAGTGTTGTTATGTTTCTTAGTTATTCAAGGTTAAATGTGATATTTGGGTGTTGCTTGTGACATTTGTTGTTTATACGTGATATTTGGGTGTTGTATGTGATATTTGGGTGTTGCTTGTGATATTTGTTGTTTATACGTGACATTTGGGTGTTGTATGTGATATTTGGGTGTTGTATGTGATATTTAGGTTGTAATGGTTTGAACTGAAGAAGTTAAAATTGAACGCAGGCTAGGGTCATAACGGCTTCGGATAAAATTGAACGCAGACCAGGGTCATAACGGCTTCTCGGATCAATTTTAACGGCTTCGGACCAGGGTCCTGTTACGGCTTCGATCTCATATTCAAGAACCACTCGGTGTCGGTGACCTCCTCGTCGGGGTCGTCGGATCCGACGTCGGCGGGGCCGATGATGAGGGAGTTGAATTACAGGGGATTTTCTAGATTTGTAAATGTTAACGATAACAATGGGGCGACACATTGCATCTAGCGGCGAGGCAAAAGATGATATTTGTTTGTTTTAAATTCGTTTGCTTTAAATTTTAGTTTTGAGTTCATTGTTTGTACTGCACATTGCTATAGATTGGTTCTACGAAGGAAATAGGATGATGGGTTGAGTTCATTGTTTGTACTGCACATTGCTATACGTTTGTTGTTTATACGTGACATTTGGGTGTTGTATGTGATATTTGGGTGTTGCTTGTGACATTTGTTGTTTATACGTGACATTTGTGTGTTGTATGTGATATTTGGGTGTTGTATGTGATATTTAAGTGTTGCTTATGATATTTGTTATTTATACGTGATATTTGGGTGTTGTATGTGATATTTGGGTGTTGCTTGTGACATTTGTTGCTTATACGTGACATTTGGGTGTTGTATATGATATTTGGGTGTTGCTTACATTAGAAAGACTGCAAATATAAGTTACCTAACATCCCATTTAACCTTGAATAACTAAGTTACAATCTCAACCCATCATCCCTGATTCCGCAATTTAGTAACAGATTGGAGCACATACGAGGATTTAGTTGGGGCATCAAAATGTTTTAACTTTATGAACCAGGTGTTGATCCAAAATTAGACGTGCCAGTAACCACACGAAAGAGGAAGACAGAAAACAAATAGAGCTGAATCCCAAACCAAGAGAATCTTTCACTTTATTAATAATCAAAAAATAAAATTAAAGGATAACATCTGTGTGATATCTTGAATACATCCGCCCCTTAACCCTTTACACACAAAACTGGGAGGGGGGGTCACAAAATTTCAAGAGACCCGTAAATTTTAAAGAATACGACAACAACTAGGGACGAGATCTCGAAAACCCCTCTTCCTCCGCTTCGATCGATTGCATCTCGCGCGCCAATTGTCCTCTGAAAACCCTCAGCTCGTCGAGGCTCATACGCTCGATCGGCTCCTCCTCCCACCACAGCTCATCCACATTGTCCGAAGAAGAAGAAGAAGAAGAAGAAGGAGGTGCCGGCGGAGACGTGGAGAGGATGCGACGGATGAGGGACGGGGTGAAGGCGTAGCAGTAGGGGTTTTCCGCCTCCGAGAGCGCCAGCACAGCGACATCGACCCCGCAGAGGACGGAGAGGTCCGACGCTTTCTTGAAGAGCCCCTGACGCCGCTTCGAGAAGGTCAACCCCCCTGCTTCTTTCTTCTCAATCTTCACAATGGGTATCTTCCTTCGACCTCCTCCGGAGCGCAGGGAGGAATCCATGGCTGCTATCTTGATTTTTTTAGGGAAAATTGGTTGGAGGAACCAAAAATAATTGCTGGAGGAGGAAAGGGATTGTGGAGTATATTTTTTGATTTTAAATTGGGAAGGGAAGGGTAATTTGGGAATGAGTTCATTGGGTAGTGGGATTATACAGTGTTTGGGGGTTAGTTGCACTTATATTTCTACAAAAGGGCTTTTCGGTTATGCTTTTTGGGCTTGGGGTGGGGATGAATGACCCAACTTAATTTGGTTCCCCAAAGCAATTTTCCCTAAAATTTAACCTTGAAGAGGAGACGCACATTTTCAATGCGTATATTAACTTTTATTATTTGACTTCAAAGACCACCTCTGTTCACCCAAAGAAAGTGATCACATTAGATTCTCTGCTTTGGTCCCCTGGTCGTATGACTTGTTTGTTAAGCTTGCATGACAAGCAAATTATGTTGGAGATTGTGGTTAAATTTGGAATAAAACAGTGAACGTTGATTTGCTGTAATTTTAAACTTTTTAAGTTAACTGCTGTGCGTTTGTAAAACGCCGTGCTTAAAGCAATATTTAGCCTACTCTGGTATAAGGATCCCAAGGCCAAACTGCTTCTAGGAATAGCAGTACAATACAATGATGTGCACCAACCAAGTATTGTCAAGATCTCCTTGATCTATAAGACCTTTTGGTCAAGGCAAAGATCTCCTCGATCTCGTAAACCTTTCGGTTTAGGCAAAAATCCTTCGTGCACAGACTCTGCAGCAGCTGCAGCACAACAGTTCCTTCGGGCACATGCTCTGCACCAGTAGCAGCACAACAACTCAATGTATTTTCATGTGTATACAAGAGCACTCCAAGAGCTACCCCAAGAGGCACTATTTATAGGCCTCTAAGGCAAGCTCAAGAGCCACCTACAATCAATGTGACTGTTACAAATCATTATGATTGTAACAACAATTGATTTAAATACTTTTGTAACTGCTGCATGCAGTAACGTCTGAATGTGAAGGTCGCGTTGCACCTTGCAACAAATCAGATGAACCTCGTCGATCAGGTGAACCTCGTCAAACAAACGAGTTTCGCAAATTAGATGAACCTCGTCAGTAAGACGAACTTCGTCGAACGGACGAACCTCATCAGATAGGTCAATCAAACGGGTCTTACAAATCAGATGAACCTCGTCAGTAAGACGAACTTCATCGAACAGGCAAACCTCATCGAACGGGTCAACCAAACGAGTCTGACAAATCAGACGAACCTCATCAGTAAGACGAACCTCGTCCAATGGGTCAATCAAACGAGTCTCGTCAAATTGATGAACCTCGTCTGATCTCGAGAATGCTAGGGTCGCACCATCGTGTAGATGCGAAGCTCGTCTGCATGCTACAAAACAGCTTGTGAGGCAACCTTCGTGGCGGCCATCGTGGCAGCTAAAGGGCGCTACCTAGCTCCGATGCCTCCGTGCGAAGTGCAAAGTGTGCTTTACAGTTTTGAGGGAGAACGGAGGCTCGAGGGAAGAGAAATTCAAAAAGGAGGCAAAAGGGGGGGGGGAGGCCCTAGGGTAAAGAAAAAGAAAAGAAAAAAACCCCCCTTTATATAAGGCGGACCGGGTTGAATCAAACCGAACCGAACCGGACCGGACCCAGTTCGAACCAAAATCCAAATTGAAGCCGAACCGAGCATCGAAACGACTTCAATCGTGGCAGCTAAAGGGCGCTACCTAGCTCCGATGCCTCCGTGCGAAGTGCAAAGTGTGCTTTACAAAGCGCCACTTTGCGCATCTGCCTGATTAGCCCTAATCCTCGGTACACAATCCATGAGCCCACGGCCCACGGCCTACAACGCACGGCCCATGACCCACGACCCACTAAAACTTATGAGGATAAATTAAAACAAAATAATTCTCGACTTGCCGTTGGCAAGCCTCGAACAGAGCACCTTTTGAAATACCAAAATTTTTACTTTCCACTAGGCTACTAATAATTTATGAAACTTACTAGTAGTTAATATATATAGTTTGAAAACTCATTTTGGAAAGCGGTTTTGATCAAAAAATCCAACAATCCCCCATAAGTTTTTAAACTAGTGTTGTGTAATGGTGCCGTTGTGTCAATCATTGTGCATAAGGTAGATGTCGCAAGGACTTGAATCCCCCTTAGACCAACTGAATAAAAGATATATGCTTGGTACCGTAGAGACTTGAACCAGCACATGTCTAAGATCCAGCGATCACACAAGATCAAACTTATCTGTGGTAGTTTTTACTTTGAACCACACTTGCTTTGTCTTTGCTTTTGCTTTGCACATTTATGGCCCTGTGTATGTCTTGGTTTCTGCTAGGGCTCTAGGTATCTTTCCACAAGATATCATAGGAGACGACCAAATCTCCACCCATGCATATGTGAGTTCTTTAGGCATGTTTCCTACCAAACATCCCGCATCCGAGATGCTTTGAACTCATTAAGGCTTACGAGTAATCCTCTCTCATGATAGGATTCTAGGTAAGTCCTTTAGGCGTGTTTTCTATATAACACCCCACATCCGAAATGCTTTGGACTCATTAAGGCTTAACAACCAACCCCTTTACCATGATAGAGTTTAGTTGTAAATCTTACTTGACTTTTGAACTAATCATTTTATCATTAGTAGCGTAATCTTTGAACTAATGACTTGATGTAAATGGTAAGTATTTGTAAGACTCACAAAACTTTGAGACCCATTCCAGCAGACGTCCTTTTGGCTATGTTTATTTTTAGACCTTTAGTCAAAGGATCAACCACATTCTCTGAAGACCGGACGTCTATCAGAGAGTTAACTCCTTGGCAAATGAGTTCTCTCAAATAGCCATGCTTTAGACGAATGGTCTGCTTTTTTCCATTGAATATCGAGTTCAATACCATAGCACTCGTTGTCTGATTATCATAATAGATAGTAATTGCACATTGCAATTCTATCAATGGAAGGTCTTGGAGAAAACAACTGAGCCACTCAGCTTCATCTCCCGCAGCACAGAGTACGAAGAACTCATATTCCATCGATGACTGTGCAATCATAGTTTGCTTCTTAGACTTCCACGAGATGGCAACTCCACCCATGGTGAAAACAAAATCTCTAGTAGATCTGCACTTATCTGGTTCTGAGCACCAGCTCGCATCTGAATAGCTTTCGATTACAGCCGAATATCTAGTGTATAATAGGCCCAGACCTATAGTTCCTTTCAAGTATCTCATCAATCTCTAGATAGCATCCTAATGAAGCTTTACAGGATTATATGTGAACCTACTAAGCATTCCTATAATGAATGTTATGTCTGGTCTCGTGCAGCTCATCACATATATAAGACTCCCAATAACCTTTGAGTACCTTAGCTGCTCTACTGGTTTTCTAGTGTTCGGTCAAAACTTCTTCTTGTAATCGTACGACACTGATAGTTCTGGCAGGTCATAGTAGCCATACATTCTTAGCATGCTCTCGACATAATGAGATTGAGACAATCTAATACCCTCTTCAGAGTATATGATTTTGATTCCAAGAATCATGTCCGTAGTTCCAAGGTCCTTCATGCTGAACTGTGCTGAGAGAAATTTTTTGGTAGATATTACTATCTCCAAATCACTCCAGATGATAAGCATATCATCCACATAGAGGTAGATAACCACCACGTTTTTTTAGCGACCTTGATGTATAGGCATTTGTCAGACTCACTGACTTAATATCCATTATTACGAATAACCCCATAGAACTTCTCATGCTAGAGTTTTAGTGCCTGCTTAAGTCCATATAGAGACTTAACAAGTTTACAAACTTTACCAGCTGGAGCATCAAGTCCTTCTGGTTTTTGCATGTAGATCTCTTCTGTGAGATCTCCATTGAGAAAGACAGTCTTCATATCCATCTGATGTATGACAAACCTTTTAATCACCACCCATACGATAAGCAATCTGATGGTAGTGATCCTGCAAACTGGTGCATCAATATAAAAGAAATTTATTCCTTCTTTCTGAGAGAATTCTTTTGTCACCAGCCTTGCTTTATATTTCTTAATAGTACCATCAGGACGAAGCTTCTTCTTGAAGATCCACTTGTAACTGATAGGCCTCGCACCTTCAGGTACATCCACCAGCTCCCAAGTATGATTTTGGATCAATAAATCCATCTTATCATCTATAGCTTCATTCCATAGAAGAACGTCTGTTGACTGCATTGCTTCTTGAAAAGTCTGTGGATCTTCTTCCACATTATAGGTGATGAAATCATCTTCAAAAATTTTTTGTCTCCTGACACGCTTGGAAGGTGGTTCGGTAACTCCTTAATCATTGACACTTTCAGTTTCTCACGAAACTGGCTCGCCTAGTGCATCTAACGTACTAGCATTCTCTGCTATATCTTTGAGCAATAAACTTTTATCTTTGATAAGTTTATCCTTAAAAAATTTTGCATCCCGAGCTTCAATGATGGAGTTGGTTCCAAGGTCAAGGAATCTGCAAGCATCACTATCTTCAGCAAAACCAAGAAACACATATCTGTTTGCTATTAGTCTGAGCTTAGGCCTTCTGATATCTAGAACTCAAACATATACGAGACACCCCTACACTTTGAGACTATCCAAAGGATCTGGATATCCCAATCATAACTGATGAGAAGTACTATCGGTTTTGGAATAGTGTACTCTGTTCAGAATCCAGGTTGTCATTAGCAAAGCCTCTCCTAATAGCAGGTAGATAGACTAGATGTGATTAGCATGGAATTCACCATCTCGATCAATGTGCGATTCTTCCTTTCTGCAATCCCATTAGATTGTAGAGAATACAGAGCCGTAGTTTCAACAATGATTCCATGCTCCTTGAAGTATGATTCTGATTCCTTAGATCGGTACTCTCCTCCTCTGTCGCTCCTGAGTTATTTCACCTGAAGTCCAAGCTGCTTCTCCACACGAGTCCGAAACTTGATAAATTTGCTGAAGGCTTCATCTTTAGATTTTAGCAGGTAGACATGACAGAAGCAAGAATGATCAT